TGTTTTCAAACAAGAGACTGTGATGTAAAAAGGAGAATTATGTATTAAGCTGAAAGAATAAGACAGTTGCAGCAGTGAGACAATTGTTTTGTAATGGTGTTGATAAAAAATTTCAGTAACATTCTCTAGTACTGGTTAGGTTGGAAGGAAAATACCCAACCTAAATGTACTATACTCCTGGTGATCACATCTGAGAAACGTGTAGGTATATACATACCAGTTGCTTTGTCAGTCTTCAAACAATCTGCTATCTTTATCAGCAACTGTTTTTTCCTGAATAGTGCTTAGCTGATGCTATCATGTGCAATCAGCAAGAGAAACATTAGACTAAGACATTGCTTGTGGCTTCACTCTACTGTTTAAGGGAGGGATGATTTTCCTAAATCAGCTAAGCTCAATGGTGCCTATATAAAAAAAGGTGGATAAACTGTATGAGGTTTATCACTCGTGCTCATCAAGCTGCTGACCCTTCCACTAACTCTGCAGCAAAATATAAGCTAAGCAACCAGACAAAAGTCATTTTTGCAGTGAATAAGATGTTTTAAAGTTTCAAGTACAACTAGAAACATAAAGATACTGCAGTGCTGCTGGTGACCTGAAGATAATATGGGGATATAAAAGAAACCTCATCAGGCTTCCAAGATGGGCATCCTTCTCATCCAACTGTGCTCTGCAGAGATACAGGCCTTCAAAAAACTCAGCATATCACCAGTTTTAAGATTAAATACTACCAATACCCATGTATAATTAGGAATTTGGAACTAGGATGACATACAAAATTTATGCAAAGTAGATGGTTGAGGGGGAGAAGAAAGCTGCAGTTGTTTGGAGACACCAAATGAACTGAGATGTCTCAGTTCTGTCGCATATTTCAGAGGACGGTAGATCAGAGAAACAGCATCAGAGAAATTACCTGCGGAAGCACCAAAGGACAAATGGTCAAAGGCATTCAAGTGCAAGGTGTTGCTGTCCTTCTTAGGCAGTGAGAGAGTGTGAAATAATACAATGACAGATATGGCATCTGCCCATCTAGCAGAAATAAAGAAATATTTTAAAATGATAAAACTTAAATAACAGTAAATAGAGAAAAGGGAGTTAAAGCCACTGTCCTGATTTCATAATTTACAACTGACAGGACAAAGGGTAATGGGTTTAAATTGAAAGTGGGGAGATTTAGATTGAATATCAGGAACAAATTCTCCACGGAGAGGGTGGTGAGGCAGTGGCACAGGTTGCCCAGAGAAGCTGTGGATGCCCCATCCCTGGAAGTGTTCAAGGCCAGGCTGGATGAGGCTTTGAGCAACCTGGTCTAGTGGAAGGTGTTCCTGCCCATGGCAGGGGGGTTGGAACTAGATGGTCTTTAAGGTCCCTTCCAACCCAAACCCTTCTATGATTCTGTGATTCTAAAATCCAGTGGGAATGGATTTTGAGGAAAATGTTCTTTTGAATTATAGTGTCAGCTAGGAAAATGAGATACAGAATGATGAAATTCTGTTTACAAAAGCAGTCACCAAGCATCTGAAAGATCAGTAGGAATCATTTCAATAATCTTACAGCCAAAGTACCTCATTTTGCACATAAGCTAAGAAGTACTTTAAAACTTCCTTTGATGTCAAATACCTGAAGAAATGAGTAGTGGGGTGACTGGATGGAATGACAGTTTTGAACTGTGTCCAGGAGGAGCAGAAGCACGCTCCAAACTGGCAAAGCAGTCTGATCACAGCACTTCAGCAAGAAATCCTGGGAAAAGCCTGTGAACAGGTTCAAGATAGCAAATGATGCTGACAAGCAAATCAAAGTAATGTGGGAAAGGTGCTGCCTTGAAGGAAAGTGATGTTTATGCTTTTCTTTCCTTTCTCAGTAATTTAGCTGAAATGATTTACCTTGCTTGGTTTATGCGTAATTATGGGAAGCAAACTATTATTTTCATTTTTTAATTTCACTTCCCCACCTCCCCTCAGGTGTCTAATTTTACTGTTATTCGGATAATTTCACAGACGTGCCTCTAAAAAGAAGGGAATCCCTAAAGAAAAGTATTTGGAAGCAGAGAGAGTTACTGGAACTGATTATTTGCATTAGATTTGGTACAAAATCTGAACAGTGACATTGTTCTGTATCACCAAACTGCATAGATTTCAACTGTGATGAGTACAGAGACACTGAAGAGGCTGGTTACCTAAGCTAATGGAAGTTCCTGTGGTATGGATGAGGCCAGCTAACTGAAATGGCTTCTGCAGCATCATCTTTAAAGGAACAGCAAGAGTGCCCTTGAGCAACTATGTCGGCGTATTCAGACCCAAATTTTGCCTAAACCGGAAAAGTCTGATTGTGGTCATCTAATCTCAATAACTTCTCCCCCACATCATAAAATTACTTTCTTCCATTTCTAATGATGGTATTTGGTGTAAATGAGTGTTGTGTGAGAAACCTGGAGATCATAAATGAGTAGAGTCTGAATCACAGCAGATTTTCAAACATTTAGCACCAATAAGGTATTATTCTTGAACCTGAAAATGCACAGTCTGTGCGCAGAGCCACATAATACATCACATATCTGCCCTTTGGAGCTAAATTACGCACATAGCAAACCATAACATGTTCACACAAAGAATATATTAATGGCTGCATTTTTAAATACATACAAGTTTCAGCATTTTCCTTTTTGAAAGAAAAACAAATAAAACAACTCCAGCTCATGACAGAGAAGGATTTATCTCTAGACTTCAACCAAAAGTGCTGTGAACCACCCGTAAGTAGCAAGTAAACTTTGTGAGCATGATGCAAACATCACCTCTCAGCAACCTTTATCACAGCAGGTGCTGTGAGATATGTGTCAGCACACAAGGTTTTAAACAAAGGAACAGTTGACAGCAATGGCGTTTGGGCATGGATCCCCCAGAATAACTGCAAGTCAGAATAGGTCTGTTCAAGTCATCCACATACTACAACAATGATTTTTAAAGGCAGTCAGTAGGCTTTTATCCAATTTTATAGGTCTTCTAGTGAAAATTATGACATAGACCAAATAAGGCATATGGAGAAAATTCAAACAGCATGGAAAGTTAACACTGTGAAATATCACATTGGTAGGCCAGCTACTTTAGCGAAAACCAGAAATGTATGTCTTTAAGCCTTTTTTAGGATACCATGGAATTGCTATTGAAATCACTCCTTGTAATATGTAATTCCTGAGGGAATAGGACATAAAAAATAAGTTTGCTTTCACATGCTTTTTCTTATCAATGTGTTTTGACTAAACTCTGTGAAAGCAGCATGACAATAAAATTGCAGTCAGTGTGTTATAAGGTTACAATACAATAGTCTGCGTTTTAAAGAAAAAAAAAGCAAGGAGAACAACAATGAATGCATGAATTTAAATGACAGGCATGTATTTCTTACAGAATCGTTACCTAGACTTGAAGCATGTGAGCCCTTCTTTAGTCGTGGACTGAATTCAAAACAATCAGCCTGTAGCAGAATTTACTGACCAGTCTAAGCACTGAAAAAAGAAATGGGTTTAATGCCACCCGGAGTTTTTTGGTTGTGGTGGTTCTTTTTGTTCATTTGTTTGTTTTCTAGAAAAGAAATCTTCTCATACTCTTTGGAAAAATATCATAAGTATACTGACTTTCAGGAAAGGTCATATTCCTATGTAGTTACTGAACTCATATCATAGCTGTATGACAAATTAAATAAAAGATTGTCATCCTTCAGAACTTTCTTTTGACCAGTTAAAAACGTGTTTCTTGACACTTCAAGGACTTGCAGAGCCTGTACACATGGTCAGATGCAATGTGCAGGTTCAGGTACGTTCAAGTATAGCAAGACTTCAAGCAGGAAAGTTTTAGAATATAAGACTTAAATCTGCAGCCCCTTGCCATCTGTAGTTAATTAAAAATCCACTGTC